ATCAATTTCAGATGCGATTGGAATTCCTTTTCCTCTGCGGGCGACAGCTGGACGAGGGCGTTGGTGGATGCCAGGCGGTGGACGGATGTCTCGCGAAGACCAGAGATGACAGCGCAGAGAGAATCATAGTTGTTTAGCCGGCGTAGTTGGTGGGCAATGATCATGAAGCGTTCGATGAGACGAGCACGATGTTTGGGCTTGTGGGGGGCGAGAATCATTGTAGATATCCTGATTGTGATCAGCGGTGACTATCAAAAAACACACGACTCACCATCGTGATAGCCGGTTGAAAAAGGCGATAGCCTTGCCTACCGGGCCATCTGTCTCCTTTCCAAAGTCGTGCCTAAAGACGTCACGAGGCTAGTTGCAAGGTCAGACACGAACACCAGTCAGCGTCACGACTCACTCGGAGGTTTTCAAACAGCTCCCATTGCAACCTCGTCAATTCTGCCGCAAACGTCCTCGGATCCATCCTCAAGACCGAGTTGATCGCATATCCCCATCGTGCTTCGGAAACCTCGTCATTCAGATGTGGAATCACATCCAGCTTTTTGTGCGATCCACTCGCTGAGCGGCTTTTACCCGAGGAGACGGAGCCTTCCTTTTCGGTCTTTTGTTGTGGCAGCGGAGGAGGCGGAGGATGGACGAGATTCGTCGTGGGGCGAGGTTCAGAGCCACTCCGTCTTCTCTGACTATCAAGCGCAAGACTGCTGGTGGACACCGAGTTGGTGGACCCAGTCATGCGACCAAAGGAATCGCTCCCTTGCCCGTCGTCAAACTTTTCCAGGTCATACAAGATTTCACTGTCAATGACCAGCTCGGAAGTAGCCGAATGGGGAGGGTCGGATTCGGGTTTCAGGGACCAGGATTGGTCGACGTCTGTCCGTTGGGGGAGGAGGTTTTGGGCAGTGACGAGATCGGAGAGCAAGTGGGCCATGAATGTGTGCTTGAGGAGGAGGGACACGATTTCGGAAAAGATGTCTGCCGTAATGGGTTCACAGATGTCACCAGTGTAGCGCGTCGTCCAGTCCACCAGAGCCCCCGCAAGTCTAGAATGTATCAGTCATGGCCCGTAGACGCCCAAAGATACGCACTTCATCAAAGCCCAGTTCCTCACATCCCTAGAGACGCCATACTCTTCGACTTCTTGGAACCGAACAAGAAACTCTTTCATGACCTCTGACGGTTGACAAAATCGTCGATATGTCATAAAGAAGGCTTTGACGAACTCGTCGTCTACACAACATCAGTGCTGAATCTTTTGAAGTGTGATGTCATACCCTTTGACGTGACGATACTCGTGAAGAGATGGTTGTAGATATCCTCCAGGCTCATATACACCGGCAGTTCACCTTGCGTCCCCTGGCTGACCGTCGAATCTGCCCTAGCCAGCTTTTCGCCCACCGCCTTCTTGCCAGCATCGGGCCCTTCTTCCGGTCTAGCCAACCACCCCAAGCTTTCCTGACTCGCCCCCTTCCCCCCTCCCTCTTGAGCAGGTTCCGGCTCATCTTCCAACATTTCCACTTCTCCCTCATCCCCCTCTTCTTGATCATATACGCCGCTGGCACGTGTAATCTCTTCACTGTTCCGCGGCGTCAAGCTGAGCTTCTTTTTCCACATTAATTTATCCGCGTGGGATTCACCGTCCGAATCGGGGGATGGGAGATGATCCAGGGAAGAAGGTTCGGCGGCGGTAGCGGAGGAAGAAGCGTCGGCTGATGATGGCAAGGTAGAGTCGGTCGAGAGGGCTTGGGGGATGTCGAGTGCCGCGAGTTGGCGGAGTTGACGGCCTGCCGAATGCATCAGTTTCAAGTCACATGGAAGGCAGGGGGGTCGCATGGCAACGGACCGCGCTGAAGGAAACTCACGCTGCCTTTGTTCAAGTTTGTACAGCAGCCACCTCAGGGCATTCCGCATCTTGGCCTTTCCCTCCTGCGTCTTCTCAGTCACTTCGATCAGACCGACGTTGAATGGTTCTCCGACCGTGTTTCCGCGGGCAGCGAGTACTTTGAGCGGTTCATGCGGGTCGGATTTGCAAGCGAGGAGGACGGTAGGGATATTTATACTTGCGAAGCGGGCTGTAGACAAGACATGTGGAAGGGTACAGCCGTTAGTATGATGTGATGGAGGACAATGGAAGATGACAGCCCTCAGTGCAAGTGCACACACATGCGGATGTACCCCGACACCCTCGCGCCTCGCGCCTGGGCGATCTCTTAAATGAAAAATATGACTTACCCACACAGTCCTTGAGCCCTTCCAGAGTCTCTTCGCGCATCGCGTCGTAACAACAGATCACCCCGGATACACCGGGGACGGAAGCGGGCCAGATGGTGGGCGCGTCCGGATCCAGGTCGAGGGTTCTGATATCCATTTCGAGGAATTCGACTATGCAGCTGCTCTCGAGCTTGCCTCCGGGGGCGATCTGCGAGTAACACGAGGATACTGTTGCTCGTCAGTCTGTGATCCGAAATCATCAGAGTCACCGAGGGGAAGGGATCGACGTACCGAGATGGCCCTTGACAGACTGGATTTTGACGGGATTGGACATGCCCCAGGTGCGTAGAGCACGGGCAATGACGGTGGTCTTGCCCACACCTTCGTGGCCGACGACGGCAATGACATGGTCTGCGCTGCTTGCCGGGGGTACTTGGGGCTTCCCACTTTGTCAGCTTTGCCCCTGCATACGAAAAGCGACACACCTCGGTCCTCGAGAGGGCCGGCTGGCTTTGCCCCCTCTTCATCTGACCATCATCCTCACTCTCGCCTTTCCCCTCCTTGACATCCTCAAGCTCTGCGGTATGCGCGATTTTCGACAATGTCGACCTTCTCGTTCTCAACGTCCGCGTAGGCTGTCCCCCGGTACCGGGCGGGAACCGCGGGCTAGAAGGGGAGAGCGAGCTGGACGAGTTGGAATCAGATACTGACTGTGCCTTCATCGATACCCGCAGCTTGCTCATCGCTTCCTGGTCCTGCGAGCTGAGCTTCATCCTTGCCGACTGGAGCAACGCCGCTTGGCTCGGATCGGCCGCGAGATCCGGTACATGATGAGCATAGGCTGACATGATGGGCGAGCTGCTGGGACTTCTGTGCTTGTAGGAAGAGCGCCGGGCTTCTTCTTCCGACATGGCGAGGCGGAGGGTGGAGGGTGTCCCGGCGAGCGGGGTGTGGAAGGAGGCCGGGGTGGTGGGCGATGGGGTGGCGGGAGAAGCAAAGTCGGAGGGCGTGGGGGGAGCGAGATGGTCGAGGGTGAGGTGCTGGGCATTTGGTCGGTGCATGGTCTGTTGAATGTCAGCGTGGCTGCCAGGCTCGCCATGGACACTCACGACGGTACTCTTTCGATATGCGGCATGGATTGATGGAAAGACGAGCAAGTAGTTTGTGGGCATATAATACGCGTCTCGAGATTCAACGCGTTCCCCGTGTGTGAGGGACAATAGAGCCAATCAGTCAATTAGCGAGATGTGCTGTGGTTGTGTCAGCTGCTCGTCACGTCGCCCAGCTGGCAAGTCGAGTAGTTCGGACGCTGGAGCTATCGGGCGAGTAGACAGGGACTAGGGGGGGACCTAATCTTAGCAGAGAAGGGGCATTCACGCGAGCCATAGGAGGACAATAGCGACGGGGAATATGTCGAGATGGGATCCCCATTGTTCCCCAGACGCCCCACCCATCTGGGCCCGCAAGTCGACTTGATGGGTAGACTCGATTGGAATCGGACCTAGACGGTTGCAGATCGAGGAAAGGAGGGATGTATTTGGTGAATGAAAGCCAAAACCTACCTTGTGCTCGTCGGGCGGGGCGTAGGAGAGACGCGCGGGCCGCCGGGGCGGGGTGTGTGGTCGAGGGCGGTCTATGGACAGGTGCAGAGCGGACAGCTGCGGGTTAGAGAGTGCCAGGGAAAGACATGGGCTTTGAGAAAGTATACACTGAGGGCAGAACGGTGCATGCTGAAAGAAGAGATGGGCGCGCGGTCCAAGCGCGTGCAGTGGCCTTCGGCTTTCGAAATTCGGGAACGGCCGCTTTCCCACGGTCGACGAGTGTGTCCATCTCCATCTCGCTCTCGCTCGCGTTATTTCCAGCTATTCAAATCATTCAACATGTTGAGAACACCTCTCCGCCTCACCCTCCGGCTACCAAGACCGAACGCTATAACTCCCCAGCGGCGATTTGCGCATGCGCTGCCCACAGACTTGCCCCCTATTCGCGCCCGCCTGCGACCTCTTGTCCCATTCTTCATCTACTGGACCATCATCACTTCGCTGCTCGTCCACCTCTTGCGGACACGGCAAGAGTCGGGCGAGTCTCTCTCGCGGCAAAAGGCCAAGATCAGCGTGCTTAGCGACCTGATTGCGCGGATACGCAACGGAGAGGACGTGAGCGAGGACGAAATGCAGCGAGAGATGGAGATGGTGGGGCTGCGCGAACGGACGGCGCTAACGCTGGGGCTGGACAAGGAGCTGAAAGAGGCGGAGAATGTGGGGTGGCGGGAGGTGCTGCTGGGCAAGACGGCACAGACTGAAGAGCAGGCAGCCCGGGAGGAGAAGGCGATTGAGGAGTGGGCACAATGTGAGTCGAGCATGTCAGGAGCGAGGCTGACGAGCGCAGTGATGAATGGCAGCGAGCCACAAGCTGGGCCAGAGGTTGGACCAGAGGCTGAGGTCCGGGGGCCGTCTATACGATCGCTGCTACGGCCATCCGAGCGGCGGCAGGAGGGCGAGCGAGAGGGGATGGCGTCGCGTGCGCCTGGGTCGGGTGTGTACCTATGAACTGCATTCCACCGGAACAGCCGTGGCGACGATCACCGGGGTGTCCTTTCGTTCCAGCGGCACTGTTGCCGCGGGTGGTGCGGGCGTACTGATGGGCGTACATACTGATGGCTGATGAGCGATCCCTCCCCGGCAGTGCGGGTGAGATAGCATGGCGTTCGGTCCTTTCCGTCACCGTCCCCGGCTCCAGCTTCACGTGTAGGGGTCCTTTCGAGGCCCAGACCTGCCTAGCGCATGTTGTCTGTGAAATCCCCAGCTGCCTACTACGTATATATTCTCATCCCTCCGCCCTTCATCCCTCCTCCCTACATCCCTCCCCGCAGATCTGTCCCCGCACCGCCCCCCATCCTCCCCCCAAGAACCAAACACCGCCACAACCCGCTTTCTCATCCGCCTCTCTACATACTCACCATGTCTGCCCAGCCACAACAACCCATTACCTCCTCCTCCCAGCTCCCCACCTCGCCCGCCCACCAACAGCCCCAGCCAGTACCCAAGACCGCCACCAAGCAGAAGAAGCAGCTCCGGGGGCCCTCTGGCAACATGGAGCTTTTCGAGTGGCAGGCGACCATGGTGAGTGTCGTCTCTTCGCCACCTTGTCTCCCTCTTGCTTGGTTCTGCCTCATCCTCGCGCATCCCAGACACGAGGGGTCCTTCAACTTGGAATGCGCGACGCGCCACACCGCGTGCATTCCTGTCTCCGCCGATCCTCTTCTGCCCGCGTTTCCCGAGATGTCCTTTGCAGACGCCCAACTGTGTAGCTAATACTCTACACAGTGCTGTCTTGCTCCTCTCGGCTCGTGCTACAGACAACAGAGCAACGAGTCTATTTACTGCTCAACAGTGAGTCCTATCCCTTGGTGCGATCGACCACTCCGTGATGAGCTGCGTCGGGCTTCGGGTGCCGCTCCATCATAATCACACCGTCATCAGTGGAGTTGTTTTTGGGGCTGCGTTTCAACCTAGTACTGGGCAATTTTCATGTTGCGAGTGTCACGACCGGAGAATTTTACTCGAGCACTGTCCCCTCACCTCCAATTGAACTCTATCCCGATCCGATATTGAAACAGTTTATCCGAAGCGAGACTGACACTTGTCACAGCACACATGCCAGGCAATCAATGTTGACGGTGAACGATGTGGTAATTCGATCACCAACCCGCGCCAAGATCGGTTCTGTCCCAACGGCTGTAGGTCTTTTCCCCTTGCTGCTGAAACCAGCGCCAACGCTCTTTAGACCACTTTGAAAACGCTCGTTACGACAACGTCGTCGAAATGGTCGAGCGCCGCAAAGCCGCAGACAAAGCGAATGCTATCCGCCGCAAGGCTGAACTAGCCGAACAGCTCGCCCTGTTTGAAGCCCAGTTCAACCTCACTTCAGTTACCGGCAAGGTTTCTTCCTCTGGCTCGCTGCAGAGTCCCCAAGTCGTCACCTCTGCTCTGCCGCAGCAAAGACAGTCGGGCTTTTCGACGACATTTCGCAGAGGCGGGCTTTGGTAACACTTCCCTTTCATCTGTACATCATCGCCGTTGGGGGTCTTTTTGTTCTTACCTACATTTGTCCTTGCTTGAAAAAAAGAGTTGCCTACTATAATCCTAGTCGTGCCGCTCTCACCTTCTTCCTTGATACCCCGTTGTAGCCACCACACTTTTTAATTGTCCACAGTATCCCATTCGTTGTAATCCACGATACCTTTTTCATATAGTATTCACCATCATCGAGCCACCCCATCGGCCTCCTGCGCGGTCAAAGACTGCAGCAACACATGCATTATAGTCACCTGAGTGAATCAAGCGGTACACAAGTCACGCGAGCCATTGCCACCTAGTAACCTCCGTGATACTTCTGCCCGGTACCCTTCTGCTGATCCTTTGCCCCGCTCCCTCGGATCGACATTCCACGGCCATCTCGACTATCACGAACATCCCTATCCATCTGCCGTCCCCAGTCTGCCACATTCCCACCTTGTCCGCCTCCTCTTCTCCACTCGCCTTCCCAATCACGCTCGTCGTCCCTCCCGCGCTTTCCACCCCCAGGAGCAGGACCTATGCGACTCTTCAAAGACGGTTTAGGCGAAGCCCCCAGGTCATGAGAACGGGGAGAAGATCCTCCACCTTGAGGACCCATGGCGCGTGCCAACAATGCTCTCGAGCCAGCGCCTGCTTCAGCGCCTCGTCCATCTCCCCGGACAGACGGCGAGTCCGCGTACCCTCGATCATCAAGTCTCGGCCTGTAATTCGCCTTGGGCGGAGCCGAGCTGGGCGGCAAATCCCTCAATGACTGTCCCCCTCGTTTACGCGCCGGCGGTGAACGCGATTGCCGCCGCGGAGGTTGCCCGCCACGTCGCTCAAAGTGATCATAGTCGTCTCTGTCGTTCCGCGATGCGTGATCCCGTTTCGCTCGGTCTTGGTCCCATTCTCGTCCGCGCAGCTCAGAGTCCCACGGCCTTCTACCATCGCGGCCTGCTGGTCCGCCGCGGTTCTGTGGTGTACCCGCTTGTCCTCGGCCACGGTTCTGCGGTGTCCCTTGTCCACCCCGCCTATCTCTCTCCCGGTTCCCGCCAAACCAATCGTCCTCGTCCTCGTCATGTCTCCCACCTCGAGATATCATCTTTTGCTTGGCTTTTTCCCGCCCACGGCGACCAGCGTCAGCACCGTAAGAGTCGTACACAGAGTTGTAAGGGACGTCGTCGTCGGTGAACCTCGAGTGGGTCGCTTTGGGTAAGTTTTTGGCTTTGGAGGGGGCTTCGTAAAAGGGCCCGCGGGAGGACATTTCGTATGAGAATGCAGAGGGGGCGGTCAGGCGTACGAGCGAGCCTCGTCGTTGGGGGCAGTCCTACTGTGAGTTAGATCGGTACAAGGGATAGAGAGAGACGTACATCGCCAAAGTGGCCTTCTCGAGCACAGTTGTAGCACCATGCTTCATAGGGTCCACCGCCCATAGCTTCCTTTGCCCATCCCTCTGCTTTTTCCTTCTCTTTGATCACCGATTTGCGTTCGTCGTCGCGAATATATGTGTAGACCCGCCAGATCGTGGGACAGTTCTGTATCTGGTCAGTATACATTCGATGGATAGAGTTGCGCCTTACCGTATCGGTATGACTCGAACCACCACAGCGTTCACAAGCAGTCCATCTCTTGTTGCGAGTAGCAGGATCGGGGCATTCAGACTTGTGATGGCCTCTTTGTCCACACCCATAACAGACTTTACTGAGAGGACAGTCTCTTCTCTCATGTTCGTCCACAGCGCCGCAAGTCGTACACTATCATAGTTAGCTTGTTCATGACAAGATGGATAGACATACAATGACATGGGGACAATCGACAGAGCGATGACCCGGCTTTTTGCAATTCTGACACACTTTTCGAGAGTCGGCAGCGGCCAGGAAGGCGGCTTCATCGTCTTGCGTCTCTTCAGGCTCTGGGTCGAAATATCGCTTCGATCCCTACTTTCGAGTGAGCTTTTGCCTCAACTCCAGTACGCCCACTTACCCTTGTGAGGTCATCATCCACGAAATGCAGACCAGCCAAAAAGTCTTCATCCTCCACCGCCGTCCTATCGCCCTCCCCTTCCGCTTGCCCCTCCTCGCCCAATAGGTGCGTCTCCAACAATACATGGCTTGGCAACATCAAATCCTCCTTATTATCCTTCTTCTTTTCCTTGTCCGCCTGCTCTTCCTTTGGTATCAGCTCCACATGAAGCCCATCTCCCGTCGTAACAACAGTCGGTACCATCGAAGGGTGAAACACCCCCGGAGAGTTGGCATGTTGCCCGTCTGCTCTTTTGGGAGCTTCAGACATGGGGTGGTCGTCGAGAATGATATTTCCGTCTGCGAGGTAGGTGTCATCGCTGGACTCTTGGGGGTTGGGTTGGTCTTCGGGCGGAGGGGAAGGAGAGAACTGGACGTTGGCCACGAGGGAGCGCAAAGGCTTGAAAGCCGTTGGGATGTAGCCAGACATGGTGGTGGATGTTCAAGAGTATGCCAGCTTGGGTTTCGATGATCAGGTTCAAGCTCGAGGGTGGGCCTGTGGACGATCTCGTCTGGTGATGGAAGCCGCCTTGGATGGCGTCGAGATAGCGCTGAGAGGAGCGTGGTTGATATCGATGTAGACTTGGGGTCTCGAGTATTGTGCGATTGTGGAGATATGGCTGACACGAAGATGAACCAAAGTCTTTACGCGTCGGTCGTCAAAATTCCAACAAGTGCCTAGAGTTGTCATCATCCAACTTTGAACCCTCTTCGGTTTTGATCATGTTGTCGCTGAGTTGATTCATGCAGCTTTCAGGGGATCTCGTGAATGGACATTATTAGGCATGCATGGCTGCTGCCCTTGGCTAAAGATACTGGTGCACTGATATTATTGTGTAAAAATTATCCAAAACATGAATGGAGTAGTGCGACAGTGGTTACTCGGTTCGATTAGAATTTTGTAATTCCTTCATCGAATGCCGTCAGGCGCGCAGGTTCGAGTCCTGCCTGCTCCTTCTTTTTGCTTTTTTTGGTATCTACTATGCACACTCTTGAATGCATCTGTGGCTGTCTATTTTTGCCCTGTCTCAACCCTAAGCTCCAGCAGAGACATCAAAGAGTTGTAGCAGGATAAGAGACACATTATCAAAACGCAGCGCCTTACGTGGCATTATGAGTTGTTTTCGAGGCAGGAGGAGGCGATGGATCTTCTTGGATGAATGTTGGCCGGCTGAAAATACGAGCAAGTGCAGTGACAAGGTTGCCAACAACTGTCCACCTTAGTAATAGGGCACACAGCGAGACAGACACCCTCGCAGACCCCGGCCGAGTGCGTACTCCTTCCCCCCGACGACTCGAATTATCGACTCTGCAGAGACATTACCAACGGTTGCTGACTACAGACCAGACCAGCTACTTTCTTGCCTCTCTTTGCGTATCATCAGCTTGTTTTGACCGAACACCCATCTCCCAAAATGTCTTTTAGACAGCACGATCGTGAGCTCGAGCCCGCCCAGTCCCCCGTGCAGCAGCTAACCGCTGGTAGACTCGAAACCCATCCATATCCCCACCACTGAAGACGAGGTGCTTCAGTACTGGAGGGATATCGACGCCTTCAAAACCTCCCAAAAGCTCTCTGAAGGCAAGCCCGAGTTCAGCTTTTACGACGGTCCTCCCTTCGCGACCGGTCTTCCCCATTACGGTCACTTGCTCGCCGGTACCATCAAGGTGTGTACCTTTCCACTCTATTGGGTTATCGCTAATAGCTTGATAAGGATATCGTCACCCGACATGCCCACTCTACCGGCCACCACGTTGAGCGTCGTTTCGGCTGGGACACCCACGGTCTTCCTGTCGAGCACGAGATTGACAAAAAGCTCAAGATCACCGGCAAGGCGGACGTCATGAAGATGGGTATTGACAAGTACAATGCCGAGTGCCGAGACATTGTCATGCGATACTCGGACGAGTGGAAGGCCACTGTTGAGAGGATGGGTAGATGGATTGATTTCGAGACTGGTTACAAGACCTTGGACCCCACTTTCATGGAGAGTGTGTGGTGGGTCTTTGCCCAGCTGTGGCAGAAGGAGCAGGTGTACAGAGGTTTGAGGGTCATGCCTTACTCTACTGGGTGCACGACTCCCTTGAGTAACTTTGAGGCTGGTGAGGACTACCGAATGACCTCGGACCCTGCCGGTAAGTCCTTGTCTTTCTATCCTACTCTGCTGACTCGGTATAGTCACTGTCTCGTTCCCTCTCGTCGACGACCCCAACACCTCTCTCCTCGCCTGGACCACCACCCCCTACACCCTCCCCTCCAACTTGGCTCTTTGTGTCAACCCCGAGTTTACCTACATCAAGATCCACGACTTTGAGCGAGACCAGAACTTTATCCTCCTCGAGTCCTTACTTGGCACGGTCTACAAGGAGCTCCAGGGCGGCAAGAAGCCCGACCCCAAGAAGGAGCCCAAGTTTAAAAAGGTCGGCACCTTCTCGGGTAAGGACATGGTCGGCTGGCGATACGTCCCCATGTTTGACTACTTCACCGAGCAATACGAGGACAGGGCTTTCCGAGTTCTTTCCGACCCTTACGTTACCGACTCTGACGGTACTGGTATCGTCCACCAGGCCCCCGCCTACGGTGAAGACGATCACCGAATCTGTGTCGCCCACAAGGTCACCCGAGAGGACGAGATCCCTCCTTGCCCCATCGACGAGTCTGGTCGATTCACCGCTGAAGTCCCCGAGTACCAGGGCAAGCACGTCAAGGAGGCCGATGCCCCCATCATCAAGGACTTGCAAAAGAAGGGCCGTCTCATCACCCGATCCGACATCATGCACTCTTACCCCTTCTGCTGGAGATCCGGTACTCCCCTCATCTACCGTGCGATCCCCTCGTGGTTCGTCCGTGTTGCCCACCTTTCCGACAAGCTTGTGGCCAATAACGAGAAGACTCGATGGGTGCCTTCCGCCATCGGCGAGGGTCGATTCGGTGGGTGGATTAGGAACGCTAGGGACTGGAACATCTCCCGAAACCGATACTGGGGTACCCCCATCCCCTTGTGGGTTAGTGAGGACTACCAGGAGATGGTCTGTGTTGGATCCATCGCCGAGTTGGAGGAGCTGTCTGGTGTCAAGGGCATCAAGGACTTGCACCGAGAGTCTATCGACCAGATCACCATCCCTTCCAAGCAAGGCAAGGGTCAGCTCAAGAGGATCGAGGAAGTCTTTGACTGTTGGTTCGAGTCAGGAAGGTGAGTGGTTTCAGATCGTCTAGTGCAACGCTGACATGTCATCAGTATGCCTTACGCCCAGGCGCACTTCCCCTTTGAGAACAAGGAGCGATTTCAGAAGAGCTACCCCGCCGATTTCATCTCTGAGGGTATCGACCAGACCCGAGGTTGGTTCTACACCCTTTTGGTGCTCGGTACCCACTTGTACGACACTGCTCCTTGGAAGAACTTGATCGTCACTGGTCTTGTCTTGGCCTCGTAAGTTGCATCCTTGACTCAAGACGTTTGCTCATGGGCGAATCCAGCGACGGTAAGAAGATGTCCAAGAAGCTCAAGAACTACCCCGACCCCATGGAGGTTGTCAAAAAGTACGGAGCCGACTGTGTCCGTCTCTTCCTTGTAAACTCTCCCGTCGTGCGAGCCGAGAACCTCCGATTCCGAGAGGAAGGTGTGCGAGAGATCTTGACCAACGTCATCCTCAAGTGGATCAACTCTCTCAACTTTTACCTCGGCCAGGCCGAACTCTTCGAGCAGACTACCGGCCAAAAGTTTGTCTATGACCCCGAGGCGAAGAAGAGTGAAAATGTCATGGATCGATGGATCTTGGCTACCTGTCAGACCCTCATCCAGCACGTCGAGACCGAGATGGGCGCGTACAGGCTGTACACTGTCATTCCCAAACTCCTCGACCTCATCTCTGATCTGACCAACTGGTACATCCGATTCAACCGAACTCGTCTTAAGGGTGCCAACGGTCCCGAGGACACCAAGTCGGCCCTCAACACCTTGTACGAGGCCCTCTTCACCCTTTGTCTTACTCTGGTACGTGCAATCAACTACAATCCTGGCTGTGCTGACGTTATTCTAGTCATCCTTTACTCCCTTCACTTGCGAGACTGTCTACCAAGCTCTCCGCCCCTCCTCCCCTGCCCCCAAGGATGCCTCTGAGGACGTCCGATCTATCCACTTCTTGTCCTTCCCCAAGGTCAAGGCTGAGTACTTTGACCCTACCATTGAGAGACAGGTGCAGAGGATGCGTGCCATCATCGACCTTGGGCGATTGATCCGAGACAGAAAGACTCTCAAGGTCAAGGTGAGTACTTGACAAACTCGTTCTGTGCACCGCCTGACCCTATTGTAGATCCCCTTGAAGGAGTTGATCATCTTCCACCGCAGCCAAGAGTACCTCGACGACGTCAAGTCTCTTGAGGGCTACATCATGGCAGAGCTCAACGTCACCAAGATTGTCTATACCTCTGACGAGGCTTCGGTCGGTATCAAGTACCGCGCCACCGCCGACTGGCCCACTCTTGGTAAAAAGCTCCGAAAGGACATTGGCAAGGTCAAGTCGTACCTTCCCAAGATGACCTCGGACGAGTGCAAGGACTTTATTGCCACCAACAAGGTCACCATCAACGGCGTTGAGCTTGTTGAAGGCGATCTCAACATTCACCGATTCGCCGAGTTGCCCGCTGATCAGGCCGCCGACTATGACAGTGCTAGCGACAACGATGCCATCATCTTGCTCGACATCCGCCGACACCCCGAGCTTGAGAGCCAGGCTCTCCTTCGTGGCCTCACTTCTCGAGTCAACAAGCTCAGAAAAGAGGCCGGGCTCAAGCCTTCTGACAAGGTGGATGTCTTTTACCAGTACGACGAGGGAGAGGAGGATGTTATTAGGGCGGCAATCGGTGGAAACGAGGACTTTTTGCAAAAGCAGATCGGTGCTGTGCCTGTAGAGTTGAGCCAGAAGAGCGAGGGCAGGGAGTTGCTGCAGACCGAGGTCAGAAGCAAGGAGGCCGGGGAGATTGGGCAGGGAGAGAGGTTTGTGCTTAGTCTCGCGTCGAGGGCGTAAGGCGATAGATAGCGTGATGATTTGTTTGGGCTACTGGTTTCAAATGCATACGTATGGATTCTATCTGGGTGTGTGCATATGAATTTTATAGCTTGGAATATACAATAAGTGTGTGACTAAGATAAACGAAGACTGCTTCTCTAATGTACATAGATGTACAGATGAATGGAGACGATGTTGTATGGCAAAAGACTGATTGAAACAGAAGGACGAAAAGACGAACAATACTTTCCCAAAAAAACAACTAAAATTTTGATTCTTTTTACGGTGTCGCCTTCTTGCCCGCCTCTTGATGCTTGACCCAATCATAACGATACTTTTCCTCGGCATCCTTGAGACTCAGCTGCAATTTGCCTATATCGATGTCAGCAGGTGAATTTATGAGGTGTTTTGCGACTTGCCGTCTTTACACGTCGCCTTGGATCTCATCTGAGCACAAAGATCATCGATGAGAAGTGAGTCCATAGAGTTCTGACGATTCGTAAGCATAGAACCATTGTTGTATACGAAGAACTCACCTCGTACTCCATACCCAATTTGATCCACAGCTCGGAAGGCTTGACTGTCCGTCCATCCTCATCAATGATATGCACAATATCATGACTCTTCTTGAAAGGTCCAGGTGCGATACATGTGCCAAGATGGGCTGGCAGGCAGTCCCCAGATTCGGAACCGCTCGAAGGCTTTTGAGCGCCAGAGACACTAGTGTTGGACGATAACGGCGAGTTGCCGGAATCGGTGTTTGACCGGGAAGCGGACGACTCGGGCGAAACCCCGTTGGAATTTTGGTTAAGAGGTGATGGCGACATGTTGAGATAGTTGTTGGGGCTGAATGTGGAGCTACCCGTACCAATGTTGAATGCCGCAGAGGGAGAGTTGTCGGCGCCGAAAATCTTTCTCATCTGCGCATTGAATGCGTCGTCGTCACCAACGGGCTCTTGTGGAGCCGCATTGTCCGAGCCAGTAAGAGAAGCAAGGAAATCAGATACACTAGAGTCGACACCGCTTTCCCAGTTGGCCGCCGCGGCGTCGGCAGAGGGATCACGGAACGCAAATTTGTTCCAGTCTGACGCGCTGCCAGTCGCACCAAGGTTTGGGGTGGGCGCGGCTGGTGCAGGCGGAGGTATTGGATCTGTCTCCATGGCAGATGCCGAGTCGGGAAAGTAGTCACTGAATCCAAAGCCAGCGTTGGTGAACGACATGAACTCGGGTTGCGAATTGAGCAACTGGAATGGACCACCTTTCGCGTCACTACTGTTTTGATTCACAGCAGGCTCGACACCGTTAGGATAAAGACTGGCCCAGAGAGCGGCAAACTCAGAGTCTCCCGCGGGAGACACGGAGCTAGGAGGGGATACCTTCTTCTCAGCCTGATGCTGAGCCGGCAGGGTGGGAACGCTAGGATCCTTGGGAAGAACACCAGCATTGCCGAGTGCAAAGGCGTTGAAATGGTCTGGGAAGAGATTGGGAGGTGTCTGATCAGTGCCGCTTCCGATTGACACAAGAGACTCTGGGCTATCTTTGAACAAGGACGCAGCTGAAGAGTTGCGATGCGAGGGAGGACGCATATCGTTGACACTCTTAAGACTGTCTTCAGTGTTGGTGTGAGGAGGTGTAGGGGGCTTGGGGTTCTGCGGCTGAGGTGCGTGGGTGCTAGCCGGGGTGTTCATGGGCATGGAAAAGGTGAATGCCGACTGCTTGAGAGCGACATTCTCTTCCTGCAGCCGCTTGAGGATCCCACGAAGATTCTCGTTTTCGATCTGCGCGCCATAGGCCTGACCCTCGAGCTCGGCAACCTTGTCTTCAAGCTAATTGAAATATGAGAAATGGTCGACGATTCCAGCGGCAGACTCACGTCCTTGACCTTTGCCTCACGCCTCTCCCTGAACGCCTTTTGAGCCGCCCTGTTTTGCTCCTTTCGCCTCTCAGACTTGCTGAGCTCTTTACGCCCCTCGCCATCCGCGGTCGTCAAAGACTTGCGGCCTCCTCTCCTTCCCGAGCCCGAAGCACCCGACGCCGTCCTGCCTTTTCCATTCTGCCTCTTGTCTTCATGTCCAGACGGCAGATCAGACTCGGATTCTATGCGCAATGTCAATTTCAAAAGCCCGGCGAAACGGCGAGCTGACTAACCCTCCTCTTCGTCTTCTTCGGCAACTCGACTGTGCTGACCCGCTTTGCGTTTGTTGCCCACATTAGCCCCCGTACTCAATCCGTTGCTGTTTTGCCTGTCTGGAGTCGAGTCGGACTCTTCATCTGCGCTGGCGCGTCTTAGGTGCTCTGAGGATGAAGGGGCAAAAGGAGGGGTGTCCTCTGGGGTGTCTCTGCCGGGAACGGGCATGTTGTTGAAGAGGGCGGAGGTGGGGAGAGAGGTGGGATTGTTTGACTGGTCATTGTTGAATGATGAGGAGAGGTAGTTGAAGAGGGCGGCGGTGTTTGGGGAAAGAGCGGAGTCCATGGTGAAGGAGTGGCGAATGGGTCGCGGAGGGGGCGAGGGGATGTGAGCTGGCGAGCAAGTGGGGTGCGGGGTGGGGATGGACCCGGGCGGGGGGAGGGGAGGGTGTGGGATGGCTAGATGGGAAAAAGAGATGCGGAGTCGAGAAGGATGTGAATAATGTGGATATTCTATGGCCGAGGGTGGAGGCAGGGGGAGTCGGCCAGGGGCGGGATGCAGCGCCGCGGGTAGAAGGGGCAGAAGGGAGTGGGGGGAACGGGGCTGGGAGGGCAGAAGGGCAGGAGAAAGAGGGGATATACGATGCATGCATAGGAGACATGGCGGGTAAAATGGATTAATAACGCTGAGTCATGCAGTGTGCCACAGGTGGATAACGCCGCCGTGCCTGGCCGCCCTCCTATTGCTGTCCTCTGTGCCCCTGTCCGGCCACGACCCATCCGCATCCGCCCCCGCCCGCCCCGCACGATGGCCCAGCAGCAGCCACCCACCGCCGCCCCCGGCCACGACCACCTCGCAGCCATGGCAGCCGCAATGGGCAACGTACAGGGACAGAACCGCGACGCCATCATGAAACAGGTCCGTCATCTCGCGCGTAGACCTCAAGCTGACCTCGGCCGCGTACCACAGCTGCAAGCACTCCAGACATCCCACGCCCGCACCAAACAGCTCTCCCAACAGGCATCCATCGGACAGCAACGGCCGTCTCCATCCCACGCCCACAGCGGATCACAAGATCAAAGCCCGTCGCCAGGTCTGGCCCAGCAGGAAGGCTTCCAACGCCCGGACATGCCCCAGTCGGGGTCCAGCGATGGCGTGTCGGCACAGGCGCAGCAGCTGGGGTCCATGTCGCAACAACAACGCGAAATGTTCCTGGCCCAGCAACAACGATTGCAGCAGGGATACGCCCAGGGTCAGGCGCGTCCTCCGGTACCCCCGCATATCCAGCAACGGCAAGGCTTTCTCAAGAGCTTTGCCCAGTACTTTCACGCCTCGGGGCAGACGCCCCCTGATGCTATATTCAACAATGGAGAAAGAGAGGGATGTTTCAGAGTGGGTGATTACTGGATGGATGTGGTGGACTTGTTGATGGCGGTGATGAAGAGTGGGGGTATCATGGCCGTGAGTCGGGCTACGCTGGCTTGAAGGCAGCTTACACTTCCCCTAGGCCATGCAGCAACCGCCAGACAGCCCCATGTGGCGCATGCTGCTGTCCCAGAAAGGCATACCCGCCGTTCTTCCCCGTCCCATCGAATGTCCCAAGCCCCCAAACTCTGACCCCAACTCGCCCCCAGCCATGACGACCAACCCCGTCACATACCTCTCGAGCGCATACTTTGCTTGGATACAAGGGTTTGAAGTCAACATGCAGAAGAATCGACAGGCATCGTATATGCGGCAGCAGCAAGCGGCCATCGCGGCGGGTAGGCCGCCGCCAGCCCCGCCTATCAACCCCAGCATCATGAACACCCAGAGACTGTCTGGTCAAGCAGACAGCCCGTCTACACCAGGCTCGGCGGTCCCTCCTTCCCCAGCTACAAATGCCCTGTCTTTCGGTCAACAAGGCACACCGACCCCTTCCACACCTGGGGGTTCGACGCAGCCTTCAGGGACTTTGCGTAGAAAACCGTCGGATAAAAAGGACGGCCTATCAGTGAACACGAATGCGGGACCGGTAGATGGAGGGGCAGACACACCAGACAGCTCGGCAGGGGGCAAGAAGAGAAAGAGGGGAAAGAATGGGAAATCGCAAGAAGTAAGTGATCCGTATAGCCTTTCGGGTCTACGAGCTGACATTTGTTCAGGAAACGCCTGCCCCTACTCCAGCACCGGAACCAGAAGAACCAGAACCGCCCGTATCCCCATCCAAACGCCAGCGCTTTCGTGTCGAGTACCGACCCATCCACTTTCCCATCCCTACATCCGCCGGATGGGACCCCAACATGGTCTCTGCCACCTATTCCAAAAATTCTCTCCGCCAGGGTACACGGCCGATACACGATCTTGCAGTCGTGGATATGGAATCTGTCCTGATGAGTCTGAGAAGTAGGATGCCGAAAGAGCTGGGGTATGCGGTCACGGTGCTGGCCATGTTGTCGATGCCGCACCCGGAAGAGAATATCGGGGGGTTGCCCCTGCATCACCTGAGAGAGGTGTTTCTGGAACTGCTGGATCTGACGGACGAGATGACGTTTGGAGAAGGCGGACATCAAGCGTGGCTACAGGCACAAAACACAGAGGTCAAGAAGGAGGACCCAGACGCCGAGACAACGGGGTCGGCGCGGGGGATGGATGATCTCAACAGATTACCATTCATTGAACTGGAACGGCTAGGGAAAGACTTCGACTTTGAGGTTCTGGGCGACGAAGAGGAGGAGGAAATACAATGGCGCAAAGACGAGACGGGAGGCAGGACCAAGCTCGTCCTGGCCTGTGTCAACATCATGCGCAACCTCTCCATGTTGTCGGAAAACCAAGAAATCATGGCGGGCTATCCAGAAGTGATCAATCTCCTGGCTGCCCTTTGCGACGCTCGTCTTTGCCGCTTACCTGGTGAGGCCCTCGACAAGAGCACAAAGAAGCCATTCTCCGTCATGGAACTCGCCCGCGTTCGGCGAGATTTCGTGACCATCTTGCTCAATCTCGGAGGAGGTGTTGATCTGCGGCAAACGACTCCGTCTGCCACTCTAGCAGTGTTTCGTAATCTCAGCTCCTTCCTCGCCTCTGGCTGGGAGTCCAACAATCTTCGAGAACCCATATACGGCCCAACCCTTGCCAGCTCTATCCGCGAGACCGGCCCCCCTACATCTGTCCCCTCGGTTGGCAGAGCCTTGGGAGCATTCTCTCTCCTGACGCATCCCGATTCGAATCGCGAGGTACTCGGCCAGGTCGTCCCCCAGGATGAACTCGTCGAACTCTTTGAGAATCTGCTCAAACTCTTACCCATCACCAGGCGTCACTTTGAAGCCATGCACTCTCTAGAAGAGTCATTAGGCCACTACGAGACCCTGGGTCTTGCCCTCTACTCTCTCGCCTTTTTGTCCCCCCTCGCGACCCGGGCAGAGATGCGCAACGTCCCAGGCAGCCTCACCCTGATCACCCGCGTCATATTCGACACCGCCATCCAGAAAGGCCACAACGCCAGCAACCCCTTTGCCATCCTCTGCAGACGGCTGTGCGAGACGCTGGGTGTTCTCAACGGTACCGTCATGCCGGGCGGGGCGGTCGAAGGGGTCAGTGGGATGAGCTTTGGAGGAGGCGGGATTGAGGGGAGTGGGTGGAAGTTTGCGAGTGAAAAGGTGGAGCAGGGGTGGTTGGCCGGGAGGGAGGAGTCGGTGCTGGCTGCCCTACTGGGCGTGAGGGATATGAACTGGACGGCGTTGGGCGAGCTGGATGGGATGCTGTGGCATACAGAGTCGAAATAGGAAGGGGAGCTAGCGCATAGAGCTAGATGGACAATTACAAGGTGTGCCAATGTAATATTCCAAGATTGTATGCTATTATATATGCTTCATTTTGTACGCGTTGGTTTGGACTAGCCTTCCCGACATCTTCACTGTACTCGCCGGATCTCTTGGGTAGTCGGGCAGGGCAAAAAAAGGTGCTGGTCGGTTCTGACATGTGATGTACTTGAACCACGGTGAGGAAAGAGGGTAGATGAAATGCATGCAGTGCTTTCTTTGAATGGCATACCGAGTCACAGCATATGCATGTGCTCTGGTCCACCCGCCAAAAGGCAAAAAGAAGGAGCAGGCAGGACTCGAACCTGCGCGCCTGACGGCATTCGATGAAGGAATTACAAAATTCTAATCGAACCGAGTAACCACTGTCGCACTACTCCATTCATGAAAGCGTTGTTTTTGCGCTACACCCAGACCGTACAGATATCTTGTAGGTCCCTTCTCGTCCATGCATGTAGGCATCACTCACGGGAGTGTACAGGTCTTTACTGAAATGGTCCCAGTGCTGTATCACCGCAGATGCGACGTTTACCGGTCTTGAGGTAATGTCCGAAGACTCCACCTCTGCCTCCACCACCCAAGTGCCAAATGTTCTGCGTTCTGACTACCGAAACATGATTGATTTGGGCGTCGTGCCATCTCTACTGTATACGATCAACATCTGAAGCTAGTACAACTGATATTCCGGCATAATGTCGCAAGAAAGTCTATCAACAAGCGATCTTCAGGCCCTGGTCCTTCTACAGCGACAATACTTTGCGCTTTACCCGCCGTATCGGTTGACGCTTCCCGACAATCGGCTTCTCGCCTCCCCACTTGGGCAAGAATTCATCATTCAACAGTTTCTTGGAGGAAGAGAAGGGGAGGACGGAGGAGTCTCTTGGATCAGGGACTTTCAACCTGAACAAGGGTACCAAGCAAAGTTCTGGAGGAGAGTAGTGGCTGCTATAGAGAATGGTGTAGCTATTGGCGGTCATCAACAAGGCGACGAGTGGGTAAGCTCTTTCCATCGCTGGCCGCTGGCATAGCTGATATGACTCAAGGTTGTCGACGATGAAATCTATGATCACGTGTCGAATCTCATGGTATCGTCCTCTACAGGGTTCCAAGAACCCAGACCGTCGTACAGGACATTCATATACGACTTGCCGGCAAAGACGCAACCTCATGCGGAGTGTACCAAGGACCACAACGGCGGACGTATAACACTGTTGGAAGAACAGATTGTCATACAAAGCGGTACCACGGGACTGCGAACATGGCAAGTCTTTCAACATCTGTTCGGTCAGGCATTGACCATGCCACAGGACTGCAGCTCTGCATCTGGGCCACCATCTGATTCAAAACTTGTCGGTTTTGTTACCTCCACTTTTTGCATTGAATAGAGGTTTCATCGAGATAGGTGCAGGAACTGGTCTCATTTCGATCCTTCTATCACATCTCGGATTCCCTGTCATTGCGACAGATTTGGGCGATAACGAGCAAGATTTCGAATCGGAAAGCAGCTTCAGGACGCCTTTGGGTCGTCTCCACACCAACCTGTCGTTGAGTGAGTAGATATGTGCAGAAGAGCGGAAGGAATGCTGATCAGTCCTCATAAGACTCGTACAGCTACGAGCCACCGGAAATACACCATCTGGATTGGTTTGATGCTCGAAAGGAGCCCAGCGACCCGTCATACGATCACAAATGGGCTGATCTGGTACAAGCGAAACGGAATGTGATTGCTGCAGATGTCGTGCGATGAGTCTCCCACAAATTGCAACGAAGACTGACGAAGACTACTAGATCTACGACCCGGATCTTGTACCGCCTCTCGTCGATTCCATTGATGTCTTGCTGGGGAGCGCGAAGGATCAACTATGCGCCGTCGTGGCTGCTACTGTACGAAACGAAACGACATTTGAATCATTCTTGGCGCAATGCGGTGAGTTCATCAGCACGCCATGTGTTGTCGAATTCTAATGCTGTCAACAGCTCAGCACCATCTTACCGTAAAAGATATCAAGCTGCCGCCTATACCAGACGCAAATCCGACCTTTTGGGATTCTGCTCTAGACGCTGGAACAAGAGTGGCAATCATGCGAATCACCAGGAAGCCAGGTCGCTAGTACATAAATCAACATAAAAGGTTTTGCCGACCCATGTTCAGATTGGTCCTGGTTGATCTGGTTTATCACATCAAATTGCACTCGATAGATACATGAATCCCCAATATTACAACATGTGCACCCATTCCAAAAGTAATGATTGATATAAGCAGCATGCATGGCCCCGTAAGAATACAATGCGATACGCTTATTCGGCCTCCTGGTCCTGGAGCTGTATATGTTCGTTAGCGCGGATAAAGCTTGCACAAACGCTCGACGTACCAAGTCACTGTCACCAGCGTCCTGGATGGACATCACACCGACACGGTAAAGCTTACCGGCGGCGGTACCAAGATCGACGTTAGAGCCCTCGTAGTGGTGGACTCGGGTCTTGGAACTGATGCATTGTCAGTGGAAAATCCGCCGAAACATGGCAATATACTCACAGCATGGCGTAGTACTCAATCTCAGACTTTCGGATGGGGGGGCAGTTCTTGGAGATCAAGATGAGCTTGGCTGTTGGTGTCGATATCCATCCGGGTACAGGGACAGTGAAATGGTCGCAGGAAAAGGGCAAATATGGAAAGCAATGGTTAGCACAAAGACCTTCTCAGCCCGAAGGCTCCAGTCCCGAATCGACGTTTCTCCACGCCTCCATCGACTGCCTCAGAAATTCAACGTACCCTTGCCAGATCGGAGCTGCTTGAGGGCCTGCTTGTAACCGAGGGTGTACTTGCCGGACTTGACAACAAGCTGGAGCTTGGAGTTGACGGACTCGGAGTTCCTGGCGGACTTGGACTTCTTGACGGGGGCCATTTTTGCTGTTTTGAACTTGTTGGTTGGGAGACGAGACAACCCTCGAAAATCCAGTTTGGCAGCGTTGAACGGAGATATCGGCATTTGGCCGTGTGGCGGGTGTATTACGTAATGCGCTTATTGTCTCTTGCATTTGAGTATCTTGAGTAGCATTTCGCCTCTTGCCTCAAATCACAGATTGTCATTGCCAACCGATCGACACCTGTCAACAACCCCACCAGAACCCGGCTCCCAAGAACATCCATCAACCCCCACCCCCAACAATATGGCTTCTCCCCTCGTCGTCGGTCTCAGTCTTCTTGGTGCCGGTCTTGCTGGCCGTGTAGGCTATCAAATGATGCGGGCTTCCAGCGGAGGCGCCAAGGAGTTCTTGAAGGGAGGATTCAAAGGCAAAATGGACAGGTCAGAAGCGCTGCAAGTGCTCGGACTGAGGTGAGGACATTTTCGCCTGCTTTACACTGTAGAGTGCTGACGTGCGATGGACAGAGAGCCTTTGACTTCCAACAAGCTCAAGGATGCCCATCGTCAGCTCATGCTTGCGAACCATCCTGATCGAGGAGGTGCCCCTTACCTTGCTGGTAAAGTGAACGAGGCGAAGGCTTTGCTTGAGTAAGTGACTTGGTTCTTCTACATGTGCGGCGTACAAGATAATTTGCTAATGAATTATCTTTGCCCTCTCAAACCCAATCCGTTTGTCTTCTACCGGCTCTAACATCTTCTCCATCAATCTCATATCACTCTCGCAATCTACAGCAAGGAGGTCTCGAGGAGATAGCGATGACCGAAGAACTGGAGATTTCTGTCAGGGAGGTATAGGACACTTGTATAATTACGTCATTTGGGATAGCTTTCTACAGGCTTCCAGCATTGCATGCACTACTCTGTACAAGCAGGCTCGCCAGCCTCGCCGAAGGTACTACCGACATGATCGCGAGGATTAATGGTTGCACTTTGTCCTCGTAATACAATGCATCCAATATGACTACTGATGGTGGTGCCCAATAGAACATTAGGAAAGCGAGCAGGATACTGGTATGCCGTTTGCTACCATTATTCTGCCCTCTTCTAGAAGGAAAGTACAGCCCCGAGGACCTCCACTTTCCGAAACCACTCGAGACTTGTTCTTCTGACTTTCTTGTTGCGCGTTTTTGCTTGTCTTCAACTTCAACCTCCGTTTCACTCCCAATCGACATTATCCGCCTGACCAAAACCCGACCATGACGCCAGACCCAGATGCCACCGACGAGCAGCTATATGCTGAATTGCCAGCCCCTCGATACGTCTCGCCTGCAGAGTTTATCGAGACCTACCATCCCAATGTTCTTGCGCCCCTCGTTCGATGTTCAAAGCTCCCCTTTCGGCATCTCACCTCTCTATACGAGACTCATATCACCCATACTCCGATGATATTGGCAGAAGAATTCTCGCGCGCTCAGATAGCCAGGACGTCCGATTTCAGCACCAGCAGTGATGAAAGAGGCGTATACTGGATGACACCAAAGAACGGAAGCGCAAAGGGCAAAGAGAGAGAACACAACCAAGACTGTCATCCAGAAGACTGTCGACCGACAAAGGCTTGGAAAACATACCATCACCCACCATCTACCACGCGCCTGCCTCCAACTCCTGTCCCGCCCAGTGCCCATGCTGAGCTGGTACGGGGTGTCCTGCTTGCTCAGTTCGCGTCGCCTAACGGAAAGTCTCTTGCGGATGCCGCGGAGCTCATATCTCCGTTTGTTGATGGGCTTGATCTAAACTGTGGTTGCCCGCAGAAGTGGGCTTATAATGAGGGCATCGGATGTGCTCTGCTCAGAAAAGCAGATCTTGTACGGGATATGGTGAGGGCCACGAAAGACAGAATGGGATGGGACTGGCCAGTGAGTATCAAGATCAGGATTGACCGAGACCCCAAGTAAGCACGCCTCGACCGATCAGGTACCAAAAGCTCATACGTGCAGAATGACAGAGCTGTTGATATCCAATGCTCTTCAAGCCGGTATATCCCACCTTACCATACATGGCCGTAACCGCCACCAACCATCCACGGATCCTGTCAACCTTCCTGGCATCAAGTTTGCGGTAGAGTGTGTGAAGGGAGAAGTACCATGTGTAGCCAATGGTGATTTGTGGGAGCTCGAGGACGCAAGAAGGATGCGCAGAGAGACGGGCGTTGAAGGAGTCATGGCAGCAAGGGGTCTTTTAGCCAAGTGAGCTGTCCTTTATCTGGCATATGCCCTTCGCTGACTTCTCAGTCCGGCACTCTTCGCTGGCTACGACAAGACTCCCGAGCATTGCGTTTCGCAGTTCATAAATCTTGGATTGGATTATGGCTTTGTCTTCCCCCTCTTCCACAGACATCTTGCGTACATGCTCGAATCGCATATGGCCAGGGCAGAGAAGGTGTGGTTCAATTCTTTACAGTCACAAGCGTCCGCAATCGACTTTCTGGAGGAGCGCGGGATAGATTTCCGGACGCAAAGAAAGAGCCTCTGGGACGCGAGACGGGGACGTGTCGTTATAAATGCATGCTAGAATACGATGCAGATTGCCATACACTAAAGGAATCATGATACAAGAATAGTTTTATGTACACACATAGATGCCTCAAATGCTCTCAATCTTTTTGGCTGATATCAGATGCCTCCCCATTCGGCGGCTGCTGATGATGATGTCTAGCACCTCCGTTGACCTCCCGCATCTCCAAATCCTCCCCCTCGGCCAGTGTACCCATATGCGCTCGGGGAGGTCTGCTGCGTCCCCTCGATTGAGACCGGGAGGCTTCAGAGGGCACCATTGTCTCGCCATCTGAATCATTGACGTGGGCCACTGCAGCGCCACCTCGCGGCATGGTAGGCGGAAGATCCTGGCGGTGTTGCGAAGAGTGCGATGACTCGCCATCTTTTTGAACGCCTCGGAGGTGCAATCTGGTGGCTGAAGGAGCCCTCGAAAGGGTGTGCGCTTCGTATTCGCCCTCGAGATCGCGTTGGTGGAATGCATAGTCGGCCACATACTCGCCGAGTTCGACTTCCTGAAAAGCCATTGTCAGCCCAGAACTGCAAGTAAACACCCATTCCAGACTCACGTCCATACCGACGATCTCGGCCTCTTCAGTCGCACGGAATTGGCAGCCAGGGATCAGATTGATGACAAACATGATGGCATAGGTGACGACAAAAGTCCATCCCATGCCAACGACAACCCAGACAAGCTGCTTTCCGAGTTGAACGTAATGATGGTCACTAACGATGATCAGCAAATTCCCTTTCTTTGCCGATGATTACTCACAGCCAACCTCCGTCAATCTCCGAGAACCCGTCGTTGGCAGCGACGCTCGCTTGTGTAAATAATCCAGTCATGACGACACCGACTACACCAGCGAGAGCGTGTACGGCGAAGATATCCATAGGATCGTCCACTCGCATGGTGACCTTGACGCGAGTCGCCAAATTGGAGACGGCAGCAGAGACAAGACCAATAAGAGCAGCAGCCTGTATCACGAGATCAGCTTTGCCTCCTACTGGTCAATATGAGAGACTTACGGGAGCACCAACATACCCGGCGGCAGGAGTTACAGCGACGAGGCCAGCAATAGCTCCTGTGCAGTATCCAACGACGCTCCATTTTCTCTCAAGACGGAAGTCCATGATGAGCCATACAACTCCACCGACACTTCCAGCAAGGTTGGTGTTGAAAACCGCGAGAGCTGCTTTCAGGGAAGCACCAAAGCATGAGCCACCGTTGAAGCCCAGCCAGCCAACCCAGAGGAATACAGTGCCAAGAACCACATTACTGAAGATAAGATATCAACTGAAGTTCTAAGATGGAGGTAATAGACTCACCCAACATTGGATGGCTTGAAAAGAACACGATCGGTACCGTAACCTCGTCGTTTACCACTTGATCGAACATCAGGACATGGCCTTTACGGAACACGATCCAAAACTCACATGAAGTACGAGTACGCCAAACCGCCGGTTCCAGAAGCGATTTCTACTGGGACTCCACCCGCGTCTGTTCAGAAAGTGGCATTAGCTGGAGTTTTGCATAGAAGCATCTATGACCTACAACTACGTGAATGGTCAGATCATGTTTACGATCACGAAAATGCAACTTACTCGAGAATTCCCCACTTGTTCGCCCAGCCATTGACGCTCCAGACCCAATGCGCCAATGGGTCGTACACCAATGTCGTCCAGCAGAACATGAAGATCATGGCTACAAAAGCAGTCAGTAACTGCCCCTAAGTGCCTGTGGGTATACAAACCAGGCAGCATTTTACTTCTCTCGGCGGCCGCTCCCAGCAACACCGCAGGCACCAGCGCGGCAAACATCTAGATGCTATTAGCAAATTGGCCCTCCAACGACTAATGCACTCACCATCTGGTATGTGGCAAACACGATCTCGGGCAGCTTTCCGTTGGTTTCCGGTACGGGCCTTTCCAAGACATTTCTGAAACCAACATTCCTGACCAAAGCTCAGCAAGACTCAGATCTGATAGCATTACAACGTACCTGCCGTCACCCCAGAAACTGCCACCGCTCTCGGAAAACACCAGACTGTATCCGATGAAGAACCATTGGAATGATATGACGCCCAAAGACACCATACTGAGGAAGAGCATTGATAGCGCATTCCGCCGTCTTGATAAACCAGAGTACAGGTAGCCAAGCCCAGGAAGCTGGAGATCGAAATATCAGTCTCCGCACCGCGAAGCTCTGCCAGCTTGACGCACCATGAAAACGATGAGTGCAGCAGAAGTCAACACCCAAGCAATATCTCCCGGGTCGTAGGCTGTGCAATGGTAAGTGATAGCAGGACACGGTGGGGAAAAATATGCTGACCAGTCTGTTCACCGGCTAGCGTCGATATGATATCCGTACCCAGGGGCTCAAAACTGACCGCCCCATCGGATGACGTGAGTAGGGCTCCATAAGTCAAGTTGACCATGTTGCAAATCTTGCAGGTGAGCTTTGCTGTGGTATGGTCCGAAGCGTCGGTGCTCGAGAGGCCGGGGTAGAAATTGGGTGTTGCTGCTGACGGGAAGTTTGTGGAGATGTTTTTTTTTCTTCTCCTTTCTTTTTTTTTGGTGGTGCCGGCGTGCGAGTGCGAGATGCCGAGGGGTGTGGAGGGTGCTGTATGGGCCGCTGTACGGGTGGGCGAGTGGAGGAGAGACGACACGGAGAGAAAGAGATGACGGTGATTCACTGGCTGCATCGGCTGGCGCATATGTACGATGGCTCGCTTGTCCCAAAAATAGGCTGCTAATCAGCCGCATAGGTGATAACGAACCGCGACTTGATTGGCTCATCTCGGACCATCTCGGTTTAGCTTTTGATTGGAGCGGCCACCCCCGCCTTCCATAAGGCACCATCAGAGAACAGTCACCGGCGGCGTTTGGTGCAGGTGACTGTCAGAGATCTCAGAGACAGGCAGAGAAGCATGTATGCTTGGCACGTCTCAGTACATCATTCAGTATAACTCATTTCTACCATCTTTACCATATCGACCAACATGTCATTCGCAGGTGTGTCGATCCCGAGCTCATCACCCAGCTTGGCGAGATACCCATTGATGTAGTCAATCTCCGTCGGCCGCTTCGCCCGGACGTCTTCTGCCATGGAGCAGGTGTTTCCTTCCGTAGCTCGAATCACACCCTCAACAATCTCTCGGATATTCTGATAGGAAAACAAGTGTAAAGTTTCTTCCGTATGCCCGCGCAACTCCTTCAACGCTTCAAGCACGCGCGAAGTCTCTCTATTCACCATTTCCAAGAGTTTCGGTCCATGTGGCTTGATACTCATAAGCGCGCTATTAGTGAGGCTTCCCCTTCCCACAATGGCAGAGAGAGGATTGACCGCGCAATTGACCGCAAGTTTCAGCAGCAGCGACTGATGCAGGGAGCGATAGGGTAGGAGAGAAGGATTCAAGTCGGATACTGACAAAAGAGCTTGTAATGTGTCTTCAAGGTTTTTGAAGGCTGGCTCGGAGGGGCATATCGATCTTTGATGCAGGGATTGACTGTCGCCTTGGGACATATCCCAAGGGGTGCCCTCGTACCTTTGATTTGGCACAACTCCCCATTTGATGTCCCCAGCTCCGAGGGGGGTATGATGAAGCACCTCCCCTTTGCTTGAGCCATGGGGAGATGCCCCATGTGTAGTCGTACCTAAGACAAAGTGTGGTCTTGATCCTTCATCCGGCCAGAAACGAGAGCACAGCTCGTCGTACACTCCCATGCCATTCTGGAAAAGGCTAATCACCGAGCCTCGGGACAATCGTGATACTAGAGGTGCGACAGCATCCGAAGTCTGACAAGTCTTCAAGGTGATCACCAAGGAAGATATTGCATCCCGGCGAGGGGCGGATGTGGACTCGTAGTCGAATGACTCGGATGTCGCTGCGATGCCGTCGCGGGAGACGCAGAGGTTCGCCCAGCGGGAGGGTTCGCGGACAAGAAGCGTCATATCGAGAGAAGGTCTGGACAAGCGAATGTGATGAGACAGAAGAGTCCCGATGGACCCTAAGCCCAGCTTGGGACAAGGTATGAGCTTCAAAGCCAAGTATGGGATCCGGGTACCCACCATGTGTAATCTTGCTCTTGACATGTCTAGCTGTTGCAATTGTCTTGTCGCAGAGGATACCCTAAGCCTTTCCTCCTTTTGGCACCCTGTGGCCTTGCGCAAGATAGGCGAGTCGGCGAGCCAGTCGCAATGGGCCGAGGAAGCTGACCTTATTGATTGTTGTTACGTAGGTTGTTGATATGACTACGCCAGTGCTTGTGGGTAATGGCACGGGAAGCCTGGGTAGCGATGCAATGAATGCTGTGGCTAGCGGAAAGAGTGATTCATGATGCCATTGATGCCGATGGGGCAACGCAGAACCAGCGCAGAACGGACACCCGAACGAACCAGCCAGGCACGCAACAACAATTTCGGTCTTTGATCCCCAAGTCCTCATCAAGTTGCATCAAAAGCCTTAATTGGCCACAAAACATCATATTCAGCATCCATAATCACTCGCACCATGACCGAGCTCGACAGCCGCCTAACCGCATTTCTTGAAGGCCGCAAGCAGAAGGGACGTTTCAGGACTTTAAAAGAGTACGATACATCGGCCTCCTCTGCGCTCGTTGACTTTGTGAGTGGCGACTACCATTCCTTGATCAGATAGATGCTAAATGAACCACATTCATCCAGTCCTCCAATGACTATCTGTCTTTGACGTCTTCGCCTGCTTTTCGTGCCCTATACCTCGAACGCTTGGCGACCGCCGAGTCCATCTTCGGCTCGACCGGCTCACGCCTTCTCAGTGGCTGTAGCCCCGGCCACTCATCCCTCGAGATCCGGCTTGCCGACTTTTTCAACTCCCCCTCGGCCCTGCTGTTCAACTCGGGCTGGGACGCCAATGTCTCTTTCTTTGCGACTGTCCCTCAATCCTCCGACTGGGTAGTCTACGACGAACTAGTGCATGCGTCGGTACACTCTGGACTACGGTCGTCTCGTGTCCCTGTAGAGAGAAGGCTACCGTTCAGCCACAACGATCCAGAGGCTTTCGCTCAAGTCTTGAGACAGGTATCGTCCTCATCAAAGTCCCAGACCTCGACCGTATTCTTGGCGCTCGAAAGCTTGTATTCGATGGACGGGGACATGTCTCCGCTTCCTGCGCTCTTGGATACTATGGAGAGCTACATTCCCAGATCTCGAATGTGCGTAGTGGTGGACGAGGCCCATTCTACAGGCGTGTATGGCCGTCAAGGGAGAGGAGTGGTGCACGCGCTGGAAGAAGAAGGAGGCTGGGCTGCCGGTGACGATCGCCGGAGAGGGAAAGGCCGTGTGGATGTCAGACTGATGACCTTTGGGAAGGCTGTTGGATGCTCTGGAGGTGAGTCGTAACTCAGTGTCTGTTTATGGCCGATGCTGATGCTCGCATAGCGGTCCTGCTGTGCTCTCCGACGGTGCGGACGTTCCTCATAAATTTCGCGCGGCCATTCATATTTTCCACTGCAATGCCGCACTCCACGGTGATTGCCTTGCAATGTGTCTGGGATATCTTGCAAGGGGGCGAAGGAGACGAGGTCAGTTGAGCAATACATCTGAGAGCACCGACTGATCCTTGACAAAGCGTCGAAACAAACTCTTGGGTATCGCTCGCTACCTACATTCGCTGCTCGATGATATGCTGGCCACAACGTCTCCACGATTACTTTGTCTTCCGCCCCATCCAGTCGTACCCTTCTCCTCTTCTCTCTCGGAGCTGCCCGCCGACCCACCGACACCCATACTTGGCCTCTTGACACCCACGCCTCATGCCCTAGCAGCATTTCTCCTTGAAAGGGGCTTCATAGTGCGCCCCGTGGTACCTCCTACAGTCCCTCCTGGGGGGGAGCGCGTTCGAATCTGTCTCAGGGCAGACTTGGGCAAGGACGTGGTGCACCGTTTGGTACAAGCCTTGCGAGAATGGGTTGATCGTCAGGCTCCTTCCAAGGCGAAGCTGTGAGAGCTGGGGCTACCATGATTTTGGATCGATAGCTAGATGGCTGCCCTTATAATGTCCATACTCTGCCCAAATGCATACAGCTGGGTTCGCTCGACTCGCTGGCATTTGTTGACAGGTCACGCACGCGGAGCCCCCGTGCCTGGTCTTGAAAAGAAGCAGCGATGATTCGTCGAGATTTTCGGGTCTGTCGGCCGGACTCGAATCTCTGACTCTTTCTCGTTTTCCATTAATCCACCGCCCAGCGCGATTGCCCGTCATCTCTCTTTTCTACTACATCTCACCCCCCAAAAATCCATCTCGTAAGCATCCACCCTTCTTATCCCAGCTTTTTTAGAGCTCCTGGCTGACGCAGAGCCCCTTCGCCACCCCAGCTCCACCATGCCCGCCCCCACTACCGCCCCCCGAACTCTCTACGACAAGGTCTTTGACGACCACGTTGTGCACTCTGGTGAGGGTGACACCCTCATCTACATTGACCGACATCTCGTCCACGAGGTTACATCGCCACAAGCTTTTGAGGGTCTGAGAAATGCTGGCCGACAAGTCAGACGACCCGATTGCACCCTGGTCACCGTTGACCACAACATTCCGTGAGTCTTATTCCATGAGTCTGTTAGCGAATCTAACATGTCTCAGCACCATTTCCCGTAAAAACTTCAAGAACGTCAACACTTTCATCAATGAGGCGGACAGTCGAGCTCAGGTTGCCGCTCTGGAAGATAACGTCAAGGGTTTCGGCCTTACCTACTTTGGCATGAACGACAAGAGACAAGGTCAGTGTACTCAAGCGACTAGCGAGCTATTATTGATTCTCTTCAGGTATTGTTCACATCATCGGCCCCGAGCAGGGTTTCACCCTCCCCGGCACCACTGTCTGCTGCGGTGACTCCCATACATCAAGTGAGCCAACTTTTCCCTCTACCTGTGCACCTCTGATCGCGCTCTTTAGCCCACGGTGCTTTCGGCGCCCTCGCTTTTGGTATCGGTACATCCGAAGTCGAACACATTCTTGCCACTCAGACCCTTCCCCAAGCCAAGTCCAAGAATATGCGCATCAACGTTGAGGGTACTCTCGCCGAGGGTGTCACCTCCAAGGACATCGTCCTCCACATCATCGGTATCATCGGTACCGCTGGTGGTACTGGATGTGTTATCGAGTTCTCTGGTTCCACCATCCGAGCTTGTAGTATGGAGGCGAGGATGTCTATCTGCAACATGGCTATCGAGGCCGGTGCCAGGGCTGGTATGATTGCCCCCGATGAGATCACATACGAGTACCTAAAGGGACGACCTCTCAGTCCCAGGCCCGGAGAGGAGTGGGAGCAGGCTGTAGCCTACTGGAACACCCTCAAGACCGACCCTGGAGCCAAGTATGATATTGAAGTCGAGATCAAGGCTGTGGACATTATTCCCACCCTCACTTGGGGAACTTCTCCCCAAGATGTGGTCAACATTGCCGGTGTCGTTCCCGACCCCAAGGACTTCCCCGAGGCCCAGCGCCCCAACATTGAGCGAGCTCTCGAGTACATGGGCCTCGCCAGCGGTACTCCCATGGACCAGATCAAGATCGACAAGGCCTTCTTCGGGTCTTGTACCAACGGTCGTATCGAGGACATGCGATCTGCCGCACGGGTCATCCTTGCGTCCACAAAGAACGGCGGTCCCTCTCATGTCGCCGAGGGCGTCTATGCTATGATCGTCCCTGGTTCGGGCTTGGTGAAGCAGCAGGCGGAGGCGGAGGGTCTCGATGTCATCTTCAAGAAGGCTGGATTTGACTGGAGAGAAGCTGGGTGCTCCATGTGTCTTGGTATGAACCCCGACCAGCTCAAGCCTGGAGAGCGATGTGCCAGTACCTCCAACCGAAACTTTGAAGGTCGTCAAGGTGCCGGTGGCCGGACCCATCTCATGTCTCCGGCCATGGTGGCTGCCGCTGCCCTCACGGGACACTTTACCGATGTCCGTACCCTCATGGGCTCTCACATCAGCGAGGACGGTGGTCTCAAGATCACTTCATACTTTGACTACCTTACCCCCGTCGAAGTGCCCGAACAACCGGTCCAGCCTACCGAAGAGACTGGAGAAGGCAAGACCCCTGTGAAGCAGGCTGCCGCTGCTTCCGCCGGTCTTCCCAAGTTCAACGTCCTTCGAGGTATTGCCGCCCCTATGTGGGAAGCCAACATCGATACCGACAAGATCATCCCCAAGCAATTCCTCAAGACCCTCCTCCGGACTGGTCTCGGCAAGGCTCTCTTCTGGCCGCTCCGATACAACAACCAGACCAACGAAGAGCTCCCCGAGTTTGTTCTCAACCGTGAACCTTTCAGATCTGCTAGCATGATTGTCTGCAAGGGTCCCAACTTTGGCTGTGGTTCTTCTCGAGAACACGCCCCTTGGGCTTTGAACGACTTTGGTATCCGCTGTATCATGGCCCCTTCGTTCGGTGATATCTTCAAGACCAAGTGAGTCTCTCCCCTCAGGGGATATGTGCCAGTATTGACGTCCATGCAGCTGTTTCAAGAACGGTATGCTTCCCCTTCAGCTCGCTCAGGCGGAGCTTGATGATCTCTATGAGGACGCTTCCACCGGTATGGAAATTACCGTCGACCTCGAGAACCAGGTCGTCACTAGGCCCAACGGCAAGCCTCCCATTGCTTTCTCTGTCGACCCCTTCAGAAGACATTGTCTCATCAACGGTCTCGACGACATTGGTCTTACCCTTGTTCACCGAGATGAGATTGAGAAGTTCGAGGGCAAGAGGACCGCTGTCTGGCCTTGGCTCGATGGTGTGGGTTACGCGAAGAAGGGTCAGAAGATCATTGCTGTTCCCGTGCGTAAGGGCGTCAAGAAGACGGATTGGTAAACTCTGCTTCACAGAGGAGGGCATTTCGGGTATCACAGTTGTATATATTATCACACATATGCATGAGATCTCAACTACGTCATGAGGCTTTGCATTGTTGCTGTGGTAAGCAAGAGAAAGTAAAACATGTATATGTTTTGTTGAGCCTATATCGGTGGCTTGATTAGCATTCACACAATTAACACACCATTCTTGACATGAATGGAGTAGTGCGACAGTGGTTACTCGGTTCGATTAGAATTTTGTAATTCCTTCATCGAATGCCGTCAGGCGCGCAGGTTCGAGTCCTGCCTGCTCCTTCTTTTTTGCTTTTTGATGAGTAGACCGGTGATCTCTAAGCATATGCATTTGTGATTCGGTATGCCACTCACAGAAACCCATGCCTTTGACCCTTCTTCCTTGCCGTAGTTCAAGTACATCACACGTCAGAATCGACCAGCGCGGCGCATGTGGAGGCAAACGAATCTCAGACAGCGACGTCAGCTCCTTCGAGTCCTTACATCTTCGTGGCATTTCCATTCTTTTCCCGGCGTCGACATCATCTGTGTGTGTCTAGTCTCATCCACCATCCCTCCGGCCATGGTGCTACTCCAACACTTGTCCCAAAACATCCTTCGGCCTGGCTTGGTACGGCCTCATGCCATCTGTACTCGGTATCTTCAACCACAGCCGACTGGCATTCTTCAATCAGCTCGGCTCGCTTCCTCCAACGTCGACCGTCCGCCGGTTTCACCAAAGGCTGCACGCTTTTCAAAGATTCCAGCTTCTCACAAACCTCCTAAGAGACGTTTGGAAGCTGCGTCCCAACCTCTACGAAATGCGGCCTCCATGACTCGAGGTCCAGTCCTCCAGTGCATTGCGCATACGACCGCAGAAAAGTATGACCTCTCTGCTCTCAGCAAAGCGCTTAAGTCACTCGGCGTGCGATGGGATGAGGTTCCGGAAGGAGATCCTGATCGTGCATTTGTCATCGGCCCATGGAAAGGTCGAGGAGGGGCAGAGCGTTTAATACGAGGCAAAGTCAACAAATCCAATCTCGCGGTCCAGAAAAGCCCTGTGCTTGAATGGGCAGAGAATGAGGCGCATGATCTGCGAGATATGGGCTTTGGCTATGGGGAGCGAGGAGAAATCTGGGTTTTCAATTCTGGCTCGTTTGTCACTTGGGGTTTGACGGAGGAAGAAGGGAGAGCTTTCCTGAGAGAAGTCATCAGGAGTGGGGGGGCTGATGTAGAAATCGCCCGAGTAGCCCCTACAGAGTACGAAGTAGAACAGGTCGACTTTGTGGTGGATCCTACAGCGTAAGTCGACCTGAAATCCAATGTACAGCCACTAACTTTATGACAGGCGTACACATATATTGGGAAACCTCATTCTACTTGGCCGCCCGCCTAGACTATCGACCTTCCACCCTTCCCCGTCTTTGGCTTCGCTGTTGGCGAGATACACTTTGTCTCTCTCCCTGTCACGGTCATCGTCTCTGTCCGTGTTGGAAGACCGACTGGATAGCCACATTGCTTCAGTCTCTCGTCTTCCGCGGGCTCTGGAGAAGTACGGGCGACAACCTATGCCGAGAAAGGAAGTCATACGGAAGATGGGCGAAGTGATGACCTTGAGAATGGCTGTCAATACCAGTGGCGGTGGCCTGGATGATACTCCTGAAGTAAGTACCGTTGTTTCCCAGCTTTCAAGTTTTGCATCACTCACTCATAATGTCGCGCAGTTCTACTGGTCGGAACCTGAACTAGAATGTCAGTCAAGTCTGAGACTCGACGAGAGTAAAAAGCTGAACGAACATTTGTAGCCTACTTTGACTCGGTCGCAAGTGAATTTGAGATCAAAGAGAGAGTCGAGTCTTTCAACCAGAAGCTCGATTATGCGGAAGATGTTCAGAACACTCTTCGTGCTCTCTTAACAGAAGTGTGTCAATGCCTGTGGGACAAGTCACCTTGCTGACATGTCTAGTCCTCTGCTCATCGAATGGAGATTATCATTATCCTGCTTATCAGCGTTGAAGTGATAATTGTGAGTAAGCTCATACCATGCTTGCTGTCTCTGACGCCTTTTAGGTACTTATTCGTGAAGGACCCGAGCTTGTGCACAAGTTCGCCGAGGCATTGGGTCTTGCCCCTGCCGAAGCTGAGGAGCTGGCAGATAAGCTACAGGACGTCGCCGATAGATTACCTCCGATGGGCATACTCCCACCTATACAGGACAGAAATGATCCTTGGGCTGATGGACCTAAGCGCCAAGTCTGAGCTATATCTATGCTCAATCCCACTGCATGCACACCTCATCTTCATAGCTGGTACAAAAGTTCCCGTCTTCTACATCATATGATCGGCGATGCGGTAATATATGAAATGCTATGCATACCCAAATACCCAAATGCGAATGATATGATAAATTGGTTTAAGCCTTGACACCAGTCCACATGGTTGCGATACCAAAGGTAAAGTCAACCCACGCACCACCCTTGCCCTCCTTCAATTGCCCGGTCTTGAAGCCAGCCTCCTGCACCAACTTGGCGAATTCGGGCTGGCTGGGGAACCTCTCAATACTCTCCACGAGGTATTGGTAGCTCTCCGCATCTCCGGCAAGGATTTTGCCCATCACGGGGATGAATTGGAAAGAGTACTGCCTGTACACTTCCCGCAAGAGAGGGTTCTGCACTTTGCCAAACTCAAGCACACCAATTCTGCCTCCGGGCTTGAGCACGCGGTAAGCTTCCGAGAGGACGGCGGGAAGGGATGTGCAGTTTCGGATACCGAAAGCGATGGTGTAGAGGTCGATAGAGTTGTCGGCGATGTGGGTGGGGAGTTGTTGGGCGTTGCCGTGGGTGAAGGCGATCTGAGGGGCTACATCGAGTGTCAGCAAAGACCTGGCGCAGATATAATGTACACACTGTTGTAGTACATGGTCTTTGTGACCCTCTTCCTGCCCTCGTTCAACATGCCCTCATTCAAATCGACGATCTCGACCTCGATATCCCTGCACGCAAACTTGTCCTTGGCTCGGTCCAGTAATCTCAGAGCGATATCACCGGTACCTCCGGCGACATCGAGACACTTGAATACTGGCTTGTCTGCTAAGACGGGATCCGAGGCGTTGCGGTGGAAGGACGGGGGGAGACGGGGGAGCATGGAAGAGACGAATTCGTCTTTCCAGAGACGGTGAATACCGAGGGACATCGAGTCGTTCATGATATCATAGCTGGAAGCGACCGAGCTGAAGACAGAGCCGACTGCATCACTGTAAGCAGATATAACTCGGCTGGCATGAATGGCTCACCAAGAGACTCTTTCTGTGATTCGGGGACATCTCGGAAGCCAAAGTGGGTTGTCTTGTCTGCGGCAGGGTCGGGGATGGCGAGGCGGGCGGCGGTGGTGGAGAGGTGTCTGGGGGGCAGCCTGGCGGCGGCTCTGAGGGCGGGGGCTGCGCTGCGAAGGTGCATGGTGGTGGAGCGAGGTGAGAGCACTTAAGGAAAAAGATGCGATGATGTGGGCCCTGAACCAGCGACGCCAGCGTTTTGATCGCGTCTAGCAAAGGCCACAAAATTCATATCTCTATTGTTTCGTCATCTCGCTTTTCTTTTCCTCTTTGTACCATACAAGCCTTCATAGAAATCCCTCGACACTTCTCGGATCTCCATAGCATCCCCCCACCCTCTCGATCTTCCGCAAATAGACAATAGACAAGACCACCACCTTTCTCAGCTCGAACTTTAACGGCGCCACAGCGATGATCAGCTTATCGCTACAGTCCACCATCCTCCTTCTCACCGCCCAACTATTCTCTCCCATACCCCTCGCCTCTGCTTCACCCAGTACGGATCACGCCTCTGCAAATGTGGTGATATCAGAGAGATCCTCTGGGGCGGAGCCACACGACATCATAGGGTCGGCGGCGAGCCTACGGAAGCGAGCCAGTGGATATAACGACCCCAGGACCGAGGGAGGATACATGCTCACCGTAAGTCTTATTGCCATATGTACCGGGACAAGGTGTAATCGCGCTCGAGGCGTGTAGGACCACACACGATGACTATTCTTTCATCAAAGCTGACTTTGTGCCCTTGCTGATGTAGATTGTCAACGGAACATACCCAGCCGGCCTGGGGGAACCGCTTAATGTCATCCTCTCCGGTGACTCGGACGATGCAGTGCTCGAAAAAAGCACCGACAACGGAGGGTTCTTGAATTACATGCTGTACGTGCCGCGCACTTGCCTCATCTCGGTCAAAGTCTGACATGTCGCAGAGCCTCGGGTTTGGGTGAAGAATGTCTTGGCCAACACTTGGGCTCAGACCAAGAAGCAAACCTCGGTGACGGCCAAGGCAATGTGACCGAAGTCGAAGAGTTGAGGTACAACTACGGAGATCCATACATCGGAACTTGCCAAGAGACTTTCAAGGGTGGTCTGCATCTGAGATATTGGATTCAGAACACCACTGGAGCGTACTTTATGGCTGTCAGCGTGGAGCAGAGTCTTTCTTCGGGACACGATATCATTGCCGACGGGTGAGCCGCCACACATATCTATTCTTGCGCACACTGACACCGTGCAGCTATAACATCGGCCGAGATGAGCTTGTCGGCAACATGACTGGGCAGACTATTGACACTCGAGGTCTGACCAATGGCTCGACTGTCAGCGGATCGGCGACCTACAACAATTACACATATCAGACCGATGTCGAATATGTCCCCGGATTACTATCCAACTCTAGTGGTGAGTTCTGGTGTTGTAGTCAAAGACTGTGCTGATAAGCGTTGCAGACGACATCAACCACTACCTAACGTGAGGCTTATACCATGCGACATTGGGAAAGACCATGCTGATGTCTGTTTAGTGTAGAGGAAGACGGGTACCCCGCTATTGATGGACTGGTGGCGGTTTTGACCGTCAAGATCACTGACAAGCCCAGCTCGTGAGTCTGATTCATCAACTGCACATGCGTATGCTCATATTCCGTCTCACAGATTCGCTCTGCCCGCTTTGGCGTCATATCCCGCTTTATCGTTGATGCCCTTGCTCATCTGTTCCCTTGTCACTTTGATTTGAGTTTTCTTTTCTTTTCAAGTCGTGATGGCTTATACCCCCTGTCCATTCTATCTCAAACCGCGGCTACCTATCGCGTGACCATTTATCATATGTCTTCATCCAATTCTAGCGAAGACCAGTATCTTTATTGTAGCCTTGCCCCTGCTTATACTCACGATATCCCCTTTGGACTCTTTTTGTCAGTTCTTTTTTCGGATTTTCTTCTTGTCATATATACCCAATTAGATTAGATACAAGATTCTTCCTGGCGTGTCACTATAGAATTTAAAACAGCGCATAGACGGCGATTGGTGGATGTATGTAAAGGAAGTTGAAAGCCCTGAAATGGTTCCGTTTGGTTCGGCACCTGCCGCCCTCAGCGCGACGATGCGTCTATTTGGCGTCTATCGACTGTCCGTCCTTGGCCTCTGAACGATACAACGACTACACCTGGCCGGTCACATCAATCCCATCGGAATTCAATCAATGAACAAGAACGCCGAATCCACCAACGCCTCTTCTGTGGCCAACAGAAAATCCTCCGTCTACGTTTCTGGCATTGCCCCAGCTGTCAACGAAGAACAGCTCTTGCAGGCGTTTGTCACATTTGGAGACATCATTGAAATCAAAATACCCCACGAACCCCATGACCGTGAGTCTCTTTACAACGACGGTGTTTGTGGCAGTATGCTCATGCACAACGAATAGCCAAAAAGCACCGAGGTTATGCTTTCATAACCTTCTCATCTGCCGCCGATGCGCAAGAAGCCATCGACAACTATGACTTGAATCAACTACCAGGATATCAAGGGAGCGATAAATTCTTAAAGTGCAGTCTGGCACAGCCGAGCAAGTATGTGGATGAGAGTGGAAGAGGTGACCGCCCTAGTATGTAGTTTGCATCCCGCCACAAGAGCCTTTGCTGACCGCGTGTGTAGTTTGGGAAACAGAAGAATGGAGAGCAGAGCACGGACAACCGAAAGAAGACGGGGAGGAAAACGCTGGAGAGTCATAGTCAGATAGAACCATGTAATACTATACACCTGTTGTAACGAGTCCCCCGATAAAGTCCCCCGCGACTGGTAAAACGCGGACGTCATGGCCGCGCTGTCCTCCTGAGACTCGCCGCTTCCGTCAGTCGCTTTGTGCTTCTGTCAGCTTTCTCTTATTTCCATCCAACCAAATCAGCCCGCTTTCTCTCTTCCACTTTCTACTGTATAACGCCGGGTAGATTCGCAGAGAGCTATACGATTCATACTCCTACCTGGATTCCAAAGAAAGCTTTAGAACTTCAGCAGAATGGCGTCTCCTATCGAGGTTGACCAAGCCGTCCCTGGCGACTCCAGTACGTTCTTCAGCTATATCGAGGGGCGCAAGCTGACATACCTAATTTAATTAGTTGATGGTGAGACTGAACGTGGCCAAGACAAAGTAAGAGCTTTGCTGACAAAGGACGTGCAACAGAGGGCTTGTACTCTCGGCAACTGTGAGTTGCGGCCTCCTGCCAAGCAAGCGATTCTTCTCTGATGCTAACTTGATGTTTCTAGCTATGTATTGGGTCACGAGGGTGAGCTATCTCATGAGCGACATTGTAGATGAGCTGACGATGGTATAGCTATGAAGAAGATGGCCAGTTCCAACGTTTTGATCGTCGGGATGAAGGGTCTTGGTGTCGAGATTGGTCAGTATTGGGTTTTTCGCCCCATATATGCTCTCATTGGAGTCATGCTCATGCTATCGCAGCCAAGAACGTCGCTTTGGCTGGTGTCAAGACTGTCACCATCTACGACCCTTCACCTGTCGAGATTGCGGACCTTGGTACTCAAGTGAGTTTCCCAACTTGCACGGGACCATATGCTGATGCGATCGCAGTTCTTCCTTCGCGAAGAAGACGTCGGCAAGTCAAGGGCCGAGGTTACCGCCCCTCGCCTCGCTGAATTGAATACCTATGTCCCGGTCTCTATCCTTCCCGGCGCCGGCGAGATCTCCCCCGAAATGATCGATCCCTATCAAGTCGTGGTTCTCACCAACGCTACCACTCGGAAGCAAGTTGAGATCGATGAATACGCTAGGCAGAAGGGCATCTACTTCATTTCGGCGGATGTGCGAGGATTATTCGGAAGCGTCTTCAATGACTTTGGCAAGGACTTTGCCTGTGTGGACTCTACCGGAGAAAACCCCCAGAGTGGTATCATTGCTGCCATCGACCAGGTGAGCAGGCTCTGAGATATTTTACTGGATGCTGACAAGCTGGTAGGATGAAGAAGGCATCGTCACCTGCCTCGACGAGACTCGACACGGTCTTGAAGACGGCGACTTTGTGACATTCTCAGAGATCAAGGGAATGGAGGCTCTCAATGGCGGCGAGCCTCGAAAGGTGACTGTCAAGGGCCCTTACACCTTCTCGATCGGCGACACTCGAGGCCTTGGTGAGTACAAGACCGGTGGTCTCTTCACCCAGGTCAAGGTGCCCAAGATCCTCCAATTCAAGTCTCTCAAGGAGAGTCTTGCCGAGCCTGAGCTCTTCATCACCGACTTTGCCAAGTGGGACAGGCCTCAGACTTTGCACGTCGGTTTCCAGGCGCTCTCCGCTTTCTACGAAAAGATTGGAACTCTTCCCCGACCTCGACATGCTGGCGACGCTCAACAGGTCGTTTCTCTTGCCAAGGAAATCCACACTGCCAACAAGGGTGAAGGTGATCTTGACGAAAAGATCCTCACTGAGCTCGCATTCCAAGCTACCGGTGACTTGTCGCCCATGGTCGCTGTCATCGGTGGTTTCGTCGCCCAGGAGGTCTTGAAGGCTTGCTCTGCGAAGTTCCACCCCATGCAGCAGAACATGTACTTTGACTCGCTCGAGTCTCTCCCCACCAACCTTCCTTCCGAGGCCGACTGCCAGCCCATCGGTTCCAGATACGACGGCCAGATTGCGGTGTTTGGCAAAACATTCCAAGACAAGATTGCCAACATCAAACAGTTTCTCGTCGGCTCTGGTGCTATCGGCTGTGAGATGTTGAAGAACTGGAGTATGATGGGCCTCGCTACTGGTCCCGAGGGTATCATCCATGTCACTGACTTGGACACTATCGAAAAGTCAAACTTGAACCGACAATTCTTGTTCAGGGCCAAGGATGTGGGCAAGTTCAAAGCGGAGAGTGCGGCTAGAGCCGTGGCTGAGATGAATCCCGAGTTGAAGGGCAAGATTATTCCGCACGAGGACAGGGTTGGTCCCGAGACCGAGGGTGAGTACTTTTACATGGTCGGTCGTTCAGAACTCGTCTGACGCTCTGCACAGACGTTTACGGCGATGACTTCTTCGGGCCCCTCGACGGTGTCACCAATGCGCTCGACAATGTGTCTGCTCGTCAGTACATGGACCGAAGATGTGTCTTCTACCGCAAGCCTCTTCTTGAGTCCGGTACTTTGGGCACCAAGGCCAATACCCAGGTCGTTGTTCCCCATCTCACCGAGTCCTACTCTTCCTCTCAAGACCCTCCCGAGAAGTCTATTCCTTCTTGTACCGTCAAGAACTTCCCCAACGCCATTGAACACACTATTCAATGGGCACGAGAGGCTTTCGACAGCTTGTTTGTCAACCCCCCTACCACTGTCAATCTGTACCTCTCCCAGCCTGACTTTGTTGAGACTACTCTGAAGTCTTCTGGGCAGCACCATGAGCAGCTCAAGCAGATCGAAAAGTATCTCGCCAAGGAGAAACCCATCTCTTTCGAGGAGTGCATTGCATGGGCTAGGCTGCAATACGAGCGGGACTACGTGAACGAGATCAAACAGCTGTTGTTCAATCTGCCCAAGGATCAGGTCAACTCCAACGGTACTCCCTTCTGGTCCGGACCGAAGAGGGCGCCGGATGCCTTGGCTTTCAACATTGACGACGTAAGTTGACTATTGTGATCAATACATGAGCTAATCTTGTCGCAGCCACTTGATTTGGAGTACTTGATTGCGGCCGCCAACCTGCACGCTTTCAACTACGGCCTGAAGGGCGAGCGTGACCCTGCCTTATTCCGAAAGGTCGTTGAGGGCATGCAAATCGACGAATTCAAGCCCAAGAGCGGTGTCAAAGTCCAGATCAATGAGAACGAGCCTGTCGCCAACGACAACGACGAGGAGGAGGACATTGACGCTATCGTCTCTTCCCTGCCTGCTCCCGCTTCACTCGCTGGCTTCCGTCTCCAGCCTGTAGACTTTGAGAAGGACGATGACAGCAATCATCACATCGACTTTATCACGGCTGCTTCCAATTTGCGAGCGCGCAACTATGGCATCACCCTTGCCGACAAGCACAAGACCAAGCTCATTGCAGGCAAGATCATTCCTGCTATCGCTACCACTACTGCTCTTGCTGTTGGTCTCGTCTGTCTTGAGCTCTACAAGCTTATCGACGGTAAGAACAAGCTTGAGGACTACAAGAACGGGTTCGTCAACCTGGCTCTTCCCTTCTTTGGCTTCTCTGAGCCTATTGCCGCCCCTAAGCAAAAGTACAATGAAACCGAGTGGACGTTGTGGGATAGGTTTGAGCTGAACGGGAACCCTACTCTGCGAGAGTTCTTGGATTGGTTCAAGACCGAGCACAAGTTCGAGGTGCAGATGGTTAGTCAAGGGGTCTCAATGCTGTGGAGTTCTTTCGTGGCTCCAAAGAAGGTACGTCATCTTCCCCCCGGGTTTGTTTCATGCTAATGTATCACCAGGCGGCCGACCGAATGAACATGCCAATGAGCGAGCTCGTCGAACACGTGAGCAAGAAGCCTATTCCCCCGCATGTGAAGAATCTCTTGGTGGAGGTCATGGTAGAGGATGAGAACGAGGAGGATGTCGAAGTTCCCTATGTTTTGGTCCACATCTAAGCAGGTATGGACGCTGGTACATGACAAAAAGTGAAAGCAAGGAAGAAGTCGTTCTGTTACATGTAATCGTATTAAGTTGCATGATTTGTCGCTCTAGCACAAAGCTGGCTCTTCATCCATTCAAACTTGGCAATCTCGCTGTACTGCATGCACAGAGCGTATCGTACACACTGATCTAAGTGTTGAGCAGAGGGAACCGTCGAGGTGAGTAGGAGTACTCAGCACGGCCGTCGCAGCGAAGTCAGCAAGCTGGCGGGCAAATGGACAGATCACGCATCTCATTTATGACCCCCTCATCTTCCGAAAGGTTTGTCCTCCCTATAATCGAATCTGCTGCGTACAGTCGCTGACCAGAACGCATAGGTCCGAGCTCTGTTTGGCGATGAAATCATCAGTATGACGACAGAATCTGCGCCGTTGCAGCCGGATATTCAAGAGCTCTTGACGGTGTACTTCAGCGCACATTTTATATAGGGTGTGAAGTCGCTCTTTCGTTCCCTGTTTTGGTTTGTTGACTGACCATTGATGTAGTTCGGCATGACAGAGGTGAGAAACCTCCTGCTTTA